GCCTGGAAGTTGTCGCGCCCAGTTTAGAGCGGGGGGGGGGGGTTAAAGACCTCATGTATCTTTTTTTCATGTGAGCGGGGGTCCTAGCAAAAATCTCCCCCGTGCCGTGGCAGGCGTTGGGCGAAGGGCCGCACCACGCAGGAGGCGGCTGGTTTGCAGCGGCCCGGCAGGAACCCGGGAGATTAAGTGCAAGGCAGGATACGGGCTGCTCCGGGGGATGCAGGGATGCTCTGAGCAGCAGGACCGGGGTGGGGGGGTTAGCAGCAGCCGGGGGTTATGCAAGCACGACATCTCCCCGCGCAGATTTACGGGCTGCTGTCAGCTACGGCACCGCGGCTGCAGCAATCCTCCCTCCTGAGCTCATAGCCAGCAGGCAGAGGGAGTCCTTTCCCTGGAAGAAAATTTTTAGCGAAGGCAGCCAAAAGGAGATCCCTGAGCAGTCCTGCCAGGACCCCCGGCTACCGGAGAGATGTTTATAAGCTCTGCTCTCTAAATCGGAGTCATCCTGGCTCACCGTCCCCCCCAGTTCTTCAGGGAGAGCTGAGAAGGGAAAAGCTCTGGGGATGTTGGATGAACTCAGCCCTCGGCGGGCAGATGAGCGGAGGTCGTGCTCTGCAGCCCCCCACCTCCTCCCCGCCGCACAGCCCGGCTCTGAAACACCATCTGGGGGCTCTTTCTCTCCCTTTCAGCAGATGGTTTAGGATCACTTTCCATTCAGACAGTGGCCGGTACTCAGCTTGGCTGTCACCCGGGGATGAGATGTCACAATTTCTTGGCGGTTCACTCTGTGACAGGCGTGGTGCTAAGGTGCAGCCACAGCATCTCCGCGGGCGTGGAGGTGCCAAACCGGGACCTGAGATGCTACGAGAGGCTGATAAACCCCCTGGGCTGCTCCAGCCTACTCGGATCAGAGGCTGGTGGGCGAATGGCAGGAGAATCAGGTAGAGGATGCTCAGAAACTGCAGGTCAACTAAGATCTGCTTGTCCCCATCTTCGTTCCCGGTAGGCATATCTGACCCCAGACCGGTACAGAATTGCAGGACCCTCTTGGGATTTCCCCAGGGTTCAAACGAGAGCAAAAAGGTGGAGCTGTGCCAGGGCCCGGGCAGGTCGCTGAAGGCAGGATGCTGCCTGCAGAGCCTGAGAAACCCCGTCGCAAAGCTGAGCGTGCTCGTGAGCAGCGTGGCTGCGCTCAGGGTGGCTCAGAAGTGCACCCTGCTTAAGAAAAGGCGTGGGCAGGAACGGGGAAGAAGAAACTGGCCCGTGTTTCTTCGTGGAGCACGCTGTGCCTCATTCTACCGAGTGTGGTTAACCCTGGGGTTTCAAAACCATCACGCTTTATCTGCGCATCTTAGTAATGAGAAGAAAAATGAGGCCTTATGATGATCCCATGACTGGAGCAAAAGCAGAGGCTGCACAATGGTTGCTGCTGGTGGGGGCTGCCCCTCGCCTGCTGCTGCAGCAAAGCCTGTGTGCCAGCCAGGTGAGTAGCCTTTGCTTGCACGGTATGTCTGTGTTAAATAATATGCCAACAACTGCCCTGTTGGATGATTTTGGAAAGAACGTTGTGGAATGATCTTTGGCTGCATCAGCATCTTTCTGTGGTGGTGTCGAGCCAAGGAAAGACCAGAAAGTGCCCAGTAAACACTTCGCTGACAATAGCAGGGAAGAGGCATGAAAAGAAACCAACCTATCTGGTTTCATGGATTCACTATAGCTGATCGGCTCCAAAATCAGTAGATTCTGGCTTGTAATACTGACAAGCTTGTTTCTGCCATTTCTGAAACCTTCAGAGTCAGTAGGGGCATCACCAGAGACTGGAGCTGCCAACAAGCCTCTCTTAACAAATGTCTTCTTGCTACCAGAAGAAGGAATTTTGAGCTATTTCTTGTGGCACAACTGTAGCCCTGCTGCTGAGAGCCAAGCAGCTTTACGTAGGTTTTAGCCTCCTAGTTCTCATTCAGATACGTTTCTTCCTATTCTCTCACACGAAACGAAGCCCCCAGCTTATCCCGAGCCCTCCAGATGGCTGCCCCGCAGCACAAACCAAAGCAATCACTGCAGCGGCCTGTGCAGTGACAGCAAATCCAAGCACAGCAGCCTCCAGCCCTGGTGCATCCAGCAGTGACACAGGTATATTCAGTTAACCTTTTCAGACAGGCATCGGGCACTATTGCATCCTCAGCCCCAATTCCTTAAAGCCAGCTCCTAATCAGTCACGGGCCAGATGGACTTGCATAACCTTGCGCTTTCCAACACCCTTCTTTTCCACCAGCTCCCTAAATAAGAGAAGCCCCGTTCAGACGCAGACTGTGCTCGGTGCAGGTACCAGGGCAATGTGTGGGCGCAACGAAAAGCCGTCTCGGGTATTTCACATCTCTGCTCCTACCTGCCTCCCTCCGCCGCTGCACCTGTGCTGGTGACTGGCTGAAAGAAAGAAAACCTGATATTCAGAGCTGCTTAATTTTAAATTGTCCTTTACAGTGTCTCTCTCACCTAGTCCAGCACATCAAGCAATTCAAGCCAGGGTTACAGCGAAGAACAGGAAGGAAATTTAAGATGATGTTGCCCATCTGTCGGAGCCACGCTGCTGTGGTCCCTCTTCCCCCCCATCCTCCAGCTGCATGTTCCTGCCTCGTCTCTTGAACCAGCTTATTGATGTTTGATGCACACCGGTTCAGGGAGTAAAACTAGCAGAAAACTGGCATTAAGCAAAAGGGACAAATTTCTGCTGGTTTAGCTGAGCAGGCTCAGGCAGAGTGGACAACCTATTTAACTGGGCTAAGGTGCGTGCTTACAGCGCAGGTAAGGGCCAGGGGCCACGTAAGGGCAGCGAAGCCTTTTCCTCTAAACCCCTGGAGGGGTATCTCTGTAAATTCCCATGGTGAACTGACCTCCCTTCGCTTCCCATGGAAAGCGTAACCCTTTTTTTTTTTTTCCTTCGGTAAATCTGGTTTTGATTGTGTTTTCCCTCCCAAGGACTGAGGGGTTTATTCTCTTGACAAGTCGATTTCTTGAGTTCATTGTGTCTCTGCTGCAGGGCATGGAAGATTTAATCTCGCAAGAGAGAGATGCCTGGTAATGTGAAGCGATGATGTAATGCTGCCCAGCTGCCCCATCGGGTCCTCCTGGGGAGAAATATCTACCTGAAACTTCTCCAGATTCTTGGCTGATCATATTCAAACTCCGATCTATTTATCTCTCTGTTTTGCATATCTCCATCTGCACCGCTTCTTGCACATCTCCATGGAGATGAAGAAACAAGGCTGGATAATGCCATTCTGGCGTGGCCCAGCCGCTGACATGGGTCCCAGCAGGTGCTGCACAACGGGGTGCAGAAACCAGCACCCGCCCCCGGAGATCCCAGCGGTGACTTGGTCCAGCGTGTCCTGCACAGGTCAGAGCTCTGTGGCCTGATCCTGATGCCTCCCACTGCACAGCCGCGTCCTTCCCTAAGGGGACAGGGTAAAACCCTGCTCAGGGGGAGCAGTAATACCAGCCATGGGGCTGAACGGGAGTTTGCCCCCGTTCTGCAGGGCTGGGGGGGGGTCAGAGAGCACATCCACATCCTCATGCTGGGGGTTTTCATGTTGGCAGCAGCATCTTCTGACTTGCATGTAAAATAATGCCAGCGTTTACGTGTTATCTGAGCTTTAATTATTTTCCTTTACATTTAAAAACGCTGCATTTAGCCCCAGAATTATCAGTGCCACTTTAAACGCGTGTGTCGAAATGATCCCCTCTGTAGCTAACATCCCTCTAGGAGCGTTATGCACAGTTCCATCTGCTCCAGTATTTCTCAGCTGTTTCTACCCTCAACGTAATGGCCAGCTTATACACAGCTAACAACTTCGGAGCGTAACAGCGAAAAACTAATCCAAAGCCTGCTGTAAGTATCGATGCTCCAGCTGACCGACTGATTTCTTTTATTATTTAGAGTTTTCTGTTTGCCTGTCGCCACAGTGATTAAAAATATATGTCGCAGTAGTGTCTCTTCATCGTGGAAAGTTGGGACAAATACTCTGTTGGCATAAATCAACGCAGCTCCGTGGAGGTCAGTGGGATTACACTGAGTTACACCAGCTTGGCCCATCCTTTCGGCTAGGTTTGTGTCCTGTCCCTCTCTATGTAAAGGTCTTCCAAGAGCATGTTTCAATGGCATTAAGAGAAGCCTTTCCTCCCAAACGCCTTTATTTATAGCTTTCAGATGGCAATGGGTCTATAGAGAGTGGAGGAGCCGACCAATTCCTACTTATGTTTGGGTAACTCTTTTTTTTTTTTTTATATCAGTTAAACATCAATGAACCTCCTAGGGAAAAAGAAATCTTGTCAATGAACCTCCTAGGGAAAAAGAAATCTTTGTTTCCATGATTTTCTGGCTAATAGCTCTCCTACGTAGCTGCAGTGTTTAATTCTGACTACCTGTTTACAGCACTTAGCTTGTAGATACAACTTTTTTTGTCTCAGAGCATTCCAGCAAGGGAAGACCGTACCAAGTCCTCATTTTAAACACAGGGAAACTCAGGTGCAGAGAAATAAAAGGACACATCGAGGTTTGCAGCCCACAGCAGCACTGGCGGAATAGCTCTGCCCAGTCCTCTTTATTTTGGTGGATGTGAGCTGTATTTATATACAGTGGACTTTTCTGTTTTCCTTTGCAGCTGGTCGCTAAAGACAGGATTTCTAAATGAGCCCGAGAATTACACATGCAAATCCCAAAGGCCTGGAATTGGGAACATCCGAGCAACAAATTGTCCTTGCTAAAGATGGTGTTGGAGCCAAAAAGCCTACAGATTTCGGGCCTGTTGTAAGTACTTTTAAAATCACGATAAGCTGGTCTTCTCCCTTGCTGAGCCTCATTGCTGGTGTTTGCCAGGTGCTAGTTTGCTTCTCAAGGCACCTTCTGCTTGAGCAGAGAGGGGATGTGGGGACAGAAGCGGGGGACAGTCTGTCACTTACGGCTGCTCCTCGGCGTGCCCTTCCCTCTGGTCCACATCCCACAACACGTATTCGCTTTACGTCTGAGATGCTGAACCCGTGTCCTCATCTGGGCTGACAGGCAGAAGGGAGGGAAGAAGGGCCGGGGCGTGCGTGCAGATGTTCAGGCCTTCAGGAAGGCGCTGCATTAAGTCAGAGTCTGTCCTGCTCTCCAGCCCTACTCCGTGTTCCCATCCTCCCTCAGCCCTCCTCATTCACCTTTTTCTAAGCCACCCAGGGTGACCCTTGAGGGGCTGAGCCGGCGTCCCCCTGACACAGGGCACTTGGGATGAGCGGGTGGGAGGGTTGCTTAAACCTGACCTTCCCGTCCTTTCTCCCTTGCCCCAGAGACCGGGCAGCATCAGCGCCTCCAGCCACCAAACCATCTACCAGCACTGGGCTCTGCGGTCAAGTTTTGTCCCCGTGGCTGGACAGACAGATCTCTGCTGCAGCGGGAGGCTGCACCCGGTGCTGCCCAGCACCGTGAGTTGCAGAACTGCTGTTCTGTGCAGGCAGTTGGAGATCAGGTGCTGTTGCTGATTTAACTGCGGGCCACAGCCTGCAAGAACGTTTGGTGAACAAACTGGTGGGGGACTGGGGAGAGATGACTTTTCAGGGTAGGGAGGTGACATTTTAATCTGACTCATTCCTGTCTCACTATGACTGTCTGACCGGTAACATGGGGTTTTTGGTGTGCAAACAGCCCCTAGATTCCCCCTGCCTTACATAGATACCTATATATTCCCACCCTTACATTACCCAAAAGGAGGATAATGTGCAATTTTCACCCTCCTCCAAGGTGATGCAAAGGGTTTAATTATCAGTGGGTTAAATCCATCTTGTTCTTCCCCTGTGGGCTGCCTGCTACTGTGGGCAAAGCAAGCAGGATTCCTCCTGTGACGTTAAAGTCTGCTCCCAGAGCTGGTGGGGTATGGAGCTCACAGCCATGGCCCACTGCAGCAGCAGTGGAGCACACTGGGGACGGCACCGTGTCACAAGTGTCAGCCCTCAGGTTTCTCTGGGGCTGGTCAACGCGCGGTTTTACCCCGTAAGGGATGGGGAGGGATGCCAAAGAGAGGAGCTGATGGTTGGGGAACCCCTCATGTAAAACGGGTATCAAATCAGGGTGCCTGTCGTGGCAGGGCTGACCTGGGATTTCAGGATCTCCAGCGCTGCTCAAAAGCTGTTGTGAAATACAGTATTGCTTTTGGGTTCCTAACAGAACAAGTGGGTTTTGGTTAGGGCTTGGGCACATTCCCATTAGAAGAGAACACCTACTCCTTCAAAAGGGCAGGGACAAGCTCTCCTGTATTTTAAACATATGAGAAAGTCCTGTTAAGTTTCAGGAGAGCTGGGTTTTAAAATCAAACCAACTGGATTATAATTTTTGGCTTAATCCAGTATTTCCCAGCCGGGCCATGGTCCTCCCGCTTGCTATTCCCGCTAGGCAAATGCACCCGCACCCGCTCGCACGCGCTCTTGGAAATACTTACATTCCCTGTTCTCCGTAGTGATTGTAAAATTCCATGTGGCTGCAAGCCTGGATCCAGCCCACGATCCAGGTCTCCTTCTTGGGAATAGGGGGCACCAACACTTGCGCAGAGGCTCGGAAGTGAGGGGTCCGGTAGCGCAGGACCACGCTGGAGGACTCGTCGATGCTGGTGGGAATGGGATCGATGGAGGCTTTGACTTCAATCACTGAAATACTTTCCCGGAAAACTTTGGATTTGCAGCTAATACTCTGAATACAGCCCATGGCATACCCCGAATACAGTCCGACACAGCTCCTAGGGTACTCCAGCAATCCTGGGGAATATTAGGCATTGAAATTATCTGGTGCTAGATCAATTACAGATCTTCTTGGTTTGTAATCTCAAAACTGATATCCATAGGATAGAAAATTCATCACGTAAAGCCTTAATTTGAGTATCTGTCTTACAAGTACTGCTCCTATTTTGAGGTTAGCTGCACTTCAGAAGCAAAAGGGCCTTTAAAACCTTTTTTCCCCTTTTAATGACCCATTAAATCTTTTGCTCAAACAGTCTTTGGGTTAAAAAAAAGTCTCTTGAATTCAATAAATAACGGTGGTGTTCTTAGCTGATATATTTAGTCCTTCCTTTCCTCAGATGCGGTCTGTCATTCACCGTCAAACATAGGGCTAGCCGGTATTTCCCTTTATTCTTTGGATGAAAAGCAGAATGTTGATAGATACATCTATATAAATAATGAAATAGTTTTTAGCCCCAGCTTGTCACAACCGGTGTGGATTTCCAACTTGCAGTTGTTCATAACTTCCTTTCGCATTTCGCAACAATAATAACAGAAAGAAACGGCGGGTGGAAAATGCAAAAAGTAGCCAGATCCCCGATTTCGGAGGCTCCTCCGCCAGCGCTCTCAGGGCTTCGGGGATTTTTTT